AAGGAGAGGGACATGGATTTGAAGTAATTTGCAAAAGAGGCAACAGTGATACATGAGGCAGCTTTTTCATGCAGAGAATGGTTAGGATCTGGAACGCACTGCTTGAGAATGTTATGGAGGCAGAATCAATTGAGGTTTTCAGAAGATGATTAGTCTGTTACTGGAAAAGGAAGAATGTGCAGGTTTACTGGGAGAAGGTAGGGGAATGGTGCTAAGTGAGTTGTGTGGGAAAGTTGGTGCAGACATGATGAGCTAAATGATCGCTGCCTGCACTGTAAGCTTTGTGTGAACATCCAGATCCTTCACCACTGAATCCCTACTTCATGGAAGCAGGACATTTGGCCCATTGAGTCCACACTAACCTTCCAAAGAGCAACCCACCCAGACCCACACCCCTACTCAGTTCCACTTGCGCGCCTGCTCCCCATAAACCCTTAACTCCTTTGTCAGTCAAAAAAACTTATCTACCTCAACCTTGAGCATATCTGATGACACTTCTCCACCTGAGGAATCCACAGACTCACAACTTCCCTGAGAGAAGTAAACTCTCCTCAACTCTGACCTGAAGTTCTATGCTTCTACTCAGTTGGGCATCCCCTTTAAAACAGAAATGAGGCAAAACCTTTTCTTGCAGAGGATCATAGGTCTTTGGAATTCTTTTACTGAGAAGGTGGTGGAAGCAGAATAAGGCAGAGGTAGATAGATTCCTGTTGAGAAAGGCAGTGAAAAGGTCGGGATGGGAATGTGGATTTAAGGTTACAATCAGATCTTATTTAATGGTGGAGCAGGTTTGATGGGCTGAATGGCCTACTCTTGCTCTTTGTTTGGACATCATCATCTCCTCATATAGTACTCTAGATATGGTCTCACCAATGCCTTGCACAGCTGTATCATCATCTGTTCCCTCTAATTTCTTGAAAACCATCCTAGTTTTCTAAATTCCAAGGAATGTAATCCTAGTTTGTGTTTTCCTCTCATCTTCCACTGGGCCCTGAAGGGAAATGATAGCTTGTGGTGGGATTGCAGGAAGCTGAGAGTTGACACAGAGGTTGGTCCTGGTGGAAGGATGATAATTCCTGAAGGGAATGGCAGTATCCCATGGGTTAGTGCCTTCGGGATTATCTTGTATATTGATAAATTCAGAGGGCTGCTGCCACAATTAAGTGGACTAGTAAGTAGAGAAAGCTGGTGCATAACAGGGACGTTTTAGAGAGCTCTGCAGTCAGCAACTTAGGAAGGAAGTAAGCTGCTTTTACCGTGCATCAAACAAATGGCTCCAAAGACAAACCATTCAACCCACCTGAGCCATACTAGTCTACAAAAGCCACCTCTTCCAGCCTTGAAAACTCTGCATTCCTCCAATTCTGGTCTCTGAGCATCTCCAATTATAATCATTCCATTGGTCTTCAGTTGCCTGGGCCCTAAGCCCTGGAATACCCTCCTTAAATCTCCCTTTCTCTCTGCTTCTCTCTCCCTTTTTTAATGCTCCATACTTTCTTGGCCAAGATTTTGGCTGCATGTCTTAATATCTCCTATGTGACTTAATGCAGTCATGGAGTCATACAGCACGGAAATAGACCCTTTGGTCTGACAAGTCCATGCCGACCATAATCCCAAACTAAACTAGTCCCATCTGCCTGCTCTTGGCCCATAACCCTTCAAACCTTTCCTCTTCATGTACTTATCCAAATGTCTTTTAAACGTTATAACTGTATCCACATCTACCACTTCCTCTGGAAGTTCATTCCGCACAGGAACCACCCTCTGCGTAAAACAAATTTGCCCCTCATGTCTTTTTTAAAATCTTTCTCTTCTCACCTTAAAAGTGTGCCTCCTAGTCTTGAAATCTCCCATTCTAGGGAAAAGACAACTATCATTAACCCTATCTATACCCCTCATGATTTTATAAACCTCTATAAGATCACCCCTCAACCTCCTACGCTCTAGTGCGAACAGTCTCAGCCTATCCAGCCTTTCTTTATAACTCAAATCTTTCATATCCGGCAACATCCTGGTAAATCTCTTCTGAACCCTCACTAGCTTAATAATATCCTTCCTATAGCTGCCAAGTGTTGTTTGATAACAATCCATGGGTCTTCTTACTATCTTATATACACTCTATACATTCAAGGTTAAGTCCCAGTAAGTGTAATTCTCATCTGGACTTGTCTCTAACAGAATATAGCCCATTACTTTGATGTATTAGGACCTCTGACCACTGAAACACACTATAATTTTAGTTTGGAATCTGGATGAGCCCCGAAATTCCACAAGTGGATCTCCCGACTCTCTCTCCCCAAGGAATCACTACCATGTGGTTGGAGACACTGATTCCCAGGGGAAAGGTGAAAAAAAAAGCATGGTCTGGACTTTGTTGGAAAATTATTGAATTCTTTCCCAAGGCACTATCTTTGGCTCAACTGTATGAAAGCACACATGCAATTAAATGAAGGAGAAAAGGCATCTGCAGTCCCCAATCTACAACTAAGATAAAGGCAGAGCTGCCATTGTCCCAGAAGGCCACTCTCTCATTACAGAAAAACAAGTGGTAGCGAATTTAAATGGAGGGCTACCACATCTCAGGCAAAGCTGATAAAACAGGACCTTCACAGTGACCTCAGTCAGTGTCAGGAATTGAACATATGCTATTGGCATCACACTGCACTGCAAACCAACCTTCCAGCCAACTGAGCTGATGGAAATTGCTTTGAAAAAAGGAAAAAGCAGTTAAACTGGTTAACGAAATTAAAAACAGAAATTGCTAGAGAATCTCAGCAGATCTTTGGAGAGAACAAAAACATCTGTGAAGGGAAAAGCACAGTTAACGTTTCGGGTCCGGTGACCCTTCCTCAGAACTGATAATAGACCCTTCCTCCTTCACAGATGCTGCCAGACCTGCTGAGCCCTTCCAGCAAATTTGTTTTTTTTTCTGATTTAAAGCATCTGCAGTTCTTTCGGTTTTTTTTCCTTGGAGAGAAAACTGGGTCAACATTTTGGGGTCCAGTGAACTCAATGGAATTGGTCAATGAGATATCCTAGTCTGACTGGTCTCGTACACTTCAAAACAATCAGACCAGCATGTCCCATTTGCCAGTATTATGTCTTTTTTAAACTGTTTTTCCTCAGGGGGTCTTGAATAAGATGTGTGTGCCCCCACCTTCGCCATTGTACAGGGGAGTCTCTTCTCTGATCAATGGGTTCAACATACCCACCAGAGACCTGAACTCGGAAAAATTAAGGCTAACACACCCAAGCCCAGCTGGCCAGAGGTGCAATCTTGCAGATGTTATATTAAAAACTTGCTTCATCCACCTTCCCGGGGGGGTTGAGAGATCCCCTACCTTGGTCAGGAGTTCTCTTCAGCGTCCCAGCCAATATTTATCCCTCTATCACCGTCACAAAAACAGATCGAGTCATAGCGATGTACACCACAGAAACAGACCCTTCAATTCAACTCATCCTTGCCAACCAGATATCTCTAATCCCATTTGCCATCATTTGGCCCATATCCCTCTAAACTCTTCCTATTCGTACACCCATTCAGATGCCTTTTAAATGGTATAATTGTATTAGCCTCAACCACTTCCTCTGGCAGGTTGTTCCATACACACACTACCCTCTGCATAAGAAAGTTGTCCCTTAGGTCCCTTTTAAATCTTTCCCCTCTCTCCTTAAACCTATGCCCTCTAGTTTTGGACTCCCTTACCCTGGGGAAAAGACCTTGGCTATTCACCCTATTCATGTCCCTCATGATTTTATAAATCTCTACAAGGTCACCCCTCAGCCTCTGACACTCCAGGGAAAATAGCCCCAGCCTGTTCAGCCTCTTCTTATAGCTCAAACCCTCCAACCCTGGGCAACATCTCTGTAAATCTTTTCTGAACCTTTTCAAATTTCACAACATCTTTCTTATAGGAGGTGACCAGAGCTAAATGCAGTATTCCAGAAGTGGTCTAACTAATGTCCTGTACAGCTTCAACATAACCTCCCAACTCCAGCAGATTCAAGAACAGCTTCTTCCCTGCTGTTATCAGACTTCTGAATGGACCTCTCAAATTTTAAATTTAATGTTGATCTCACTCTGTGTGCACCTTCTCTGCAGCCGTAACATTCTATTCCTTGCTCTTTTCTATTACCCTAATGCACTTTGTATAGTATGATCTGCCTGCGCTGCATGCAAAACAAAATGTTTCACTGTATGTAGGTACATGTGACAATAATGAATCAAATCAGATCAAAAATAAAATTATCTGGACATAATCATATTGCTGTTTGTGGAAGCTTGCTGTGAGGACATTATCTATATTACAACAGTAACTACAATTCAAAATTGTTGGCAAAAATTGGTAATACAATCCGCTTGAAATTTGGAGTTCCTATGTTTCTGTCCTGGGGAGTGCAAAATGAAAACCCTTGACAGCATGTCTGTTTTTTCCAATAATATTGAACACAATGTGATTGACTGTCCTTGAGGAAAAACAAACAATAAAACTGGTGACTGAAACTGACTGGTCTGACTTGTATATTTCAAAATGGAGCTCTTAAACATCCAGAGACATGGTGGCTCAGTGGTTAGCACTGCTGCCTTGCAGCACTAAGGACCTAGGTTCAATTCCACCCTTAGGTGACTCTGTGTGGGTTTCCTCCCACAATGCAAAGGTGTGCAGATTAGAGGGTAAGGGGGGTGGGGTGCCTTTCAAAAGAGTTAGTGTGCACTGAAGTAGCCTGCTTCTATGATGTAGGGATTCTATCCTAGCCAGCACATTCAGTTACACTTTTACTGTCTTTTTTTCCCCTTCTCGGTGTGAAACATTTTGGGGTGTTCTGTGGTCATGAAAGGTGCTATATAAATGAACGATGGAAATTGTGAACATTGTTGCCGTGTCAGAAGTGAAGCTTGTCTTTTTTCCCTCGTTTGCTAACCCTACAATTTAAAGTTTTTGAGATTTGTAGCTCACCAATAACCCGAGCTAACCCTACAGTTGCCTCTTGCCTTCCAGCTCCACCATGCTCTCTGCTAGTCTTCTGCAGATGGTGGTCCTGTGTGCCTGGGTGCTGTTAGCCGGAGAAGCCGGCTTGTTCTCTGAAGGAGGGAGGACAGTGCCATCGGATGCAAGCCGGAAGGAAGGTACGGCGCTATCTTCGCCTGATCCTGAGCTGGTCCATACTCTCCACAGGACTCTGCTGAGCAGACTGGGACTGAGCCGTCTCCCCAGGCCCAATCCTGCCACCATCATCCCTCAGTACATGCGTGATTTGTACTACTTTCATACTGGGGATTACGACAGCATCCAGGATTCCAGCTTCACCCACTTGGGGAGACACGCAAGAGACGCCAACACAGTGCGAAGCTTCCATCACTTGGGTGAGTTGCTAGAACCAAACATCCTGTCCAAACTCTCTGCCTGCTCTTCTCCTTTTGGACTGTTCTTTTTACCTCACATAACTTTTCTCTATCACACATATTCAATCAGATACCCACAACCTCTATCACCCACAGGCCATGGGCAGTGGAGTTCAATGGTGAGTATCTCCAGGAGCTCCCTCCCATTTTTTTTTAGACTGACTCTATGTGAACCATGATACCATGCAAGTGCTCCAATATCGTATCTATGATTTGAAGAAAAGCGAATAGCAAAAGTGTGATTTGTCATTTTCTGTTTCATCTCATGGAATTCACAATTTGCTACATAATGCATATGCTCAGTGCATTTAGCTTCATCAGACACTTGAAATTGACCTAAATCAAATATTGATATACCAGATTCTTAATGCTTACTCACGGTCAATATTATGTTGCTGAATATTGGAACACTTAATTTAGTAAAACTGGCATTCTCTACATATTCAATAGTACAGGTAATGCTGTGGGCTTCCAGTCTCGAGGTTATTCCTCAAAGTATGGTCCCACCATGGCTAAGCACTTAAGAAAGACTGTAATGTTTGAATTTCCAGCTTTATTTTCTACTTAAAACTGAGAATGTGTCACTGTACTATAATTACTGCAATGTTTAACTTTTAACTTTGTTCTTTCTTTCTACCTTGTTCTTAAGATTTTGTACCTAGGTACTTGTACCTAAGATGGCACCTTGGTTGGCGACATTGTACACTTTTCACGGTACTCCTGTACTTTTGTACTTGAGTACACATGGCAATAAAAACAAAAATCAAATCAGTAATAACTCAGGAAGCCCAAATGGAAAGGAAAGGAGCTCCCTTCCAATTTGCGTACCATCACAATCTTTGTTTAATCCTTTCATGTGACAAGGCTGACATTTGTTGGCTATCCTTAATTGCACCTGAACTGAGTGGCTTGCTGGGACCATTTCAGAGGGCAATTACAAGTCAATCACATTCGCAACATGGTGTATCCCAAATACACTGCAGTAACTCATCAAGGCTCCTTCAACTGTACCTTACAAACCCAAAACTCAGAATCTCCACTACCCAGAAGGGCAAGAGCAGCAGATGCATGGAAAGACTGTAAATAGAACCCATGTCACATTGTGATATAGAAACCAAGGTACCTTTCTTTTCATTGCAGAGAGAGTTTATTGACTTGCTGAGTCTTAGTCCTCTCTCGCCCCACACTCAGTGTCCTAGCTTTCTTTGTTTCTGGATATTTTCTGTTCAGTGATGTTACTACACACCTCTGGAACAGGTAGGATTTGAACCCAGGCCTCCTGGCTCAGAGGTAGGGTCATACCACTTCACAAGAATCCTAGCTTGCTTGAAGCTAATTAATATCTATCGCCTGTTTCTCTTAACCCTACGATGTCATTAGCAAACCTTAACAGTGTGATTGACCAGACATAAGCAAACACTACCACCTTCAATTTCTGAATTTCCATTTCTGAAGAAGGGTCCAGACCTGAAATGTCAGCCTTCCTACTCTTCTGATACTGCTTGGCCTGCTGTGTTCATCCAGCTCTACACCTTGTTATCTCAGATTCTCCAGCATCGGCAGTTCCTCCTGTTTCTCTCACTACCACCTTCAAGTTTGCTGCCAAGCCCCACAATAACCTGATTTAGAACGATATCCCCATTCCTTCATTGTTGCTGGTTCAAAATCCTGGAACTTCCTCCCAAAAGTACTGTGGGATGTCTCTAAGTCCCAAGGCCTGCAGTGGTTCAAGAAAGTGGCTCACCACCACTTTCTTCAGCCGAATCAGGGATGGACAAGATAGAAACCAAATGGACATATTTTCTTTGTAGAGAGAAATTATTGACTTTCTAGGGTCTCGGTTTATTCAGTTAGCTGCTTTGCAATACAATGTTGCCAACAGTGTTAGATTCATTTCCCTCACCCTCTGTTACCAGGAAGGACTCCCCTTCTCAAAGTCTCCCCTTGCGTTAGGCATGGTGACTCTCAGGTTAAACTCACCACCAGTCGCCCCTCTAATGAGATAGCAAGGTAAAGATAAAAGACCAAGAGATGTAGGAGTGAATTAGGCCATTGAGCAATTGAGTCTGCTCTGCCATTTAATCATGACTGATGTGTTTCATAATCCCATTCTCCTGCCTTCCGGATGAAATACCCTCAATAACTTGGCCTCCACAGCCCTCTGCAGCAACAGTTCCATAGATTCTCCACCCTCTGGCTGAAGAAATCCCTCCTCATCTCAGTTCCCTCACTCTGAGGCTGTGCCCTGGGGTCCTAGTCTCTCCTACTGCTCCACATCCACTCTATGCAGGCCTCTCAGTATTCCATAAATTTCAATAAGATTCCCCCACCCCTCATCCTTCTAATCTCCATCGAGTACAAACCCAGAGTTGTCAACCGGTCCTCAAATGACAAGCCCTTCACCCCCGGGGATCATTCTTGTAAACGTCTTCTGGACTCCCATCCAAGCCCAGCACATCCTTCCTTTGATATGGGATGCTTACTGACTTGCTGAATGTTATCCCTCTGATCACACACCTTCATGGGGAATGGTCGTTATTGACTCATAAGGGGATAGTCTCCATGGAGCCATAGGGAATGGTCATTATTGGGCCATAAGGGGATAGTCTCCCTGGAGCCACAGGGAATGGTCATCATTGACCCATAAGGGGATAGTCTCCATGGAACCATAGGGAATGGTAGTTATTGGGCTATAAGGGGATAGTCTCCATGGAGCCATAGGGAATGGTCATCATTGGGCCATAAGGGGATAGTCTCCATGGAGCCATAGGAATGGTCATTATTGACCCATAAGGTGATAGTCTCCGTTGAGTCATAGGGAATGACCATCATTGGGCCAGTGACACCCACATCCCAGGAAAGCTCTTTTTAAATTAGGGGAGGCGATGGCCTAGTGGTATTATCACCGGACTGTTAATTCAGAGTTCTAGATAGCATTCTGGGGACCTGGGTTTGAATCCCACCATGGCAGACGGTGGAATTTGAATTCAATAAAATATCTGGAATTAAGAATCTAATGATGACTGTGAACCTGTTGCCAATTGTCAGGAAAAACCCATCTGGTTCACTAATGCCCCTTTAGGGAAGGCAGCTGCCATCCTTACCTGGTCTGGGCCTACATGTGACTCCAGACCAACAGCAATGTGGTTGGCTCTGATCTACCCTTTGGGGCAATTAAGTTTGGGGCAATAAATGCTGCTGGGTCAGCCATGCCCTCCTCCCCTGAATGAATAAAGGAAAAAAACTGTTGGATCAGGGAGATTTTTGCACTGAATGGAAGAGTTTGTTATTGAGTGTTTTTTTCTCCTCTTTCTCCTTTCGGTTTATGACAGGTTATCTCCAGGAGGTCCCCTATCCCGAGGGAAGAAGTTTCCACCAGATCGTCTTCAACTTGACCACCATCCCCGACCGAGAGCACATCACTTCGGCCGAGCTCCGCTTATTCCGAGAGGCTGAGGTCGGGGCCGGCCCCGGCCTGGAAGCAGTGGCCGTTTACGAGCTCTTGGAGCCCCCAGGTGGAGGAGGGACGGGGCGCAGGTTACTGGAGAGGCGCCTGCTGCCTGGTAACCGGAGCCAGTGGGAGAGCTTCGAGGTGGGCCCGGCGGTGATGAACTCCAGAGCGGGGCGGCACCAGCAGCGGCGGGATCTGGTGGCTTTCCTGGTCGAGCTGAGGCCGGGCCCAATGCCCCGAGGGCGGCTGAGGGTTGGCAGGTCGCCACGGGAGTCCGAGGAACGTGCCGGGGAGCCCCGGCAGCCACTCCTGGTCACCTATGGCCGGGATGGCAGTGGCGGGAGGGCCCTGGGCTCTAGGCCCAGGCGGCACAGCCTGAAGAAAGGGGCACGTGCCAGAGTCCGGCAGCGGAATCGGTGCCGCCGGAGGCCACTCTATGTGGACTTTGAGAGGGTGGGCTGGACCGAGTGGATCATCGCTCCCCGAGGCTACGACGCCTTCTACTGCCAGGGTGAGTGCCGGTTCCCGCTTGCCGACCACATGAACTCCTCCAGCCACGCCATCGTGCAGACCCTGGTCAACTCGGTGAACACCGAGATCCCCAAGGCCTGCTGTGTGCCCACCGAGCTCAGCCCCGTTGCCATGCTCTACCTGGACGATGATGAGAAAGTGGTCCTCAAGAATTACCAGGAGATGGCCGTTGAAGGATGTGGATGCCGCTGAGACAACACCCCCTCCCCCCCAGCCCACACAAGGTTATTGAGTCATTGGGAATGGTCTTCATTGAGTAACTGGGGGGTGGTCTTAATTGAGTCATTGAGGATCTTCATTAAGTCTTGGGAAGTCTTCACTGGGTCATTGGGTGATCTTCGTTGAGTCATTGGGGATCTTCATTATGTCATGGGGATGGGGATTATCATTAAATCCTAGGGAAATCTTCATTGATTCTTTGGGAGTAGTCTTCATTGAGTCGTAGGGGATCTTCATTGAGTCATAGGAGATCTTTATTGAGTCATTGGG